CCTCGGGCAGCGCCGCCAGCATCCACCGGCCCCACCCCGGGCTGCCCTCCTGTCCCGTCCACCCCCCGGCACCGTTAGCGTAGCTTTCATTCTTTAACTCATTGCAGAATATGCGTAGCACAAAATTACTTGCTTACCCATTAATAACTGAACAACTGAGTGGCGTTAAGTACGTCCACCTTGATTTACAGGGCTGTCGTCCAGCCACTCGTGTGTGCGTGCGTGTTTTACTGGGGCTGAACCCTGAACTACATCCCTAGCCCTTTTAAAATGTATTTTTAAATACAGGGTCTGGATAAATTGCCCGGGCTGGGCTTGAGTTTGTGCCCCTCCTCCCTCAGCCTCCCGGTTCTGGGATCGCAGGTGTGCATCACCACACCTGCCTGGGCCCCACCTGCGCTCCAGCTTTCCCTGTCACGACACGGATCCTCTGTGAAGGCGGACCAGGAGCCTGTCTGCCACCTGAGGTCTGGGCCCCCGCCAGGTGAGGTTTTTGCTTGCGGTGCCCATTTGCCCGCCCCAGTCCTGCCCACAGTTGCCTCACTGTGACCGCGTTCATCTTGCCCTCTTCACACCAACTCAGTGGCACGAAGTCCGCCTGTGACGCATGGCGGACACCACTGCCCTCTGTGTGTGAAGTGGAAACTCTGTCCCCAGCACACAACTCCCAGCCTGGCAAACGCCGCCCCATTGTCCGTCTCTGGTTTCCAGGACAGAGTACTTGCGTCTCACGGAGGAGGCTCCACGTGGCACTTGCCCTTTCAATTGCCCTGCCTGGCCAGAGGCCTCCATCCATTTGGGGGCCTATGCCGGACGGACTTCCTCTTCAGGGCCAAAAGATTTTCCATTGTGTGGCTTATTCATGCCTCTATCAAGGGGCACCCTCGGGGGTGTTGTGTAAATTTCTGAGACGTGGAAGAAATGCGTCAGAACAACTCCGACACGTGCAGCTTGGCCCGTGACTGAGTGTCAGGCTCCCTTCCAGAGCAGCGGGCAGCTTTCGGGGCTGACCCCCACCCCCCGGCCAGGCTCCTGGCAGCTTGGCCATTGGTCAAGTCCCTCCCGTGGTGAGAGCTTGTGACTGAAGGAAGGAATCTAGCGCCTCTGCCTGGGCAATAATGTGGTCAAGGGCTGTCCTGCCATGCCAGGCTCTGGGACCAGCAGGCAGGAGTCACAGACCGTGCAGAAAAGCCAGCACGGAGTGTCTGCTGGCCCAGCGCAAGGTGAGGGTGGCCTGGTGAGCCCTGCACAATGACCCTGTACTGGAATGCTGGACGCTCCGTGCTGGTAGATGCCACCTTGCATCCCGTTCTGGCCGTGACTCCTTGCCCATGTATTGTGCACACAGGTGCCGGGCGGCCATCCACGTGCTGGGGAGGGGAGTGTCCCGCTGTCCAGGTCCAGTCCCATCCGGTGCTCCGTCCCACCTCTCAGGCACCCGGGTCAGGGCTCGCCTGCCTGGTTTCTTGCTCTTGTTGTGACTTCTCTGGAATGGAACCGCCGGGAGGTGCATCCGATGAGGAAGGTGCCCCTTGTTCCAGGGTCCTCGTGAAGTTACCCCGACTTGGGGGACAAGTGTAGATGTTGCAGGGTGTGCATGCCTGGCTGGACAGGCACAGCCATTCAGGTGGCAGATTCCCTGGTGCCCTGTGTCCCAGCAGCAGTGGCTTCCCTGCTGTGGCCTGTGACCTCCACAGCTGCAGATCTTTGTCCTGGCTGCAGTGTCCTGTCAGGTTCCCTCCCTCGGAGCAGGTCAGAGGGGAGGCAGGTGGTTGCATCCAGACAAGCTGTGCTATTACTGCCCTGGTAAGCACATTCTGCCTGGTACTCTGGCAGTGGACCGTTGGTGACACTTCCCCTCAGCCTGTGTGGTGCTCTCCAGCGTTATAAACGCCAGCCACGGGGAAGGAAGCACCCAGCTCTGTGCCGGCTGGGTCTGACTGTGCCCTGCAGCCCCAGCAGTGGTATCTTCTGAAGTGGGGACTCACTGTCTGGCTCTGCCAGGCTGCGGTGGCTGTGGCCTGTGTGGAGTGGGGTCCTGGGGGAAGGAGCCCAACCATGCAGGTGCCTTCATGTCAGCCTTTTAACTATTGCTTTGAGCCACTTAAACCAGCCCTCTTCTGGGGTTGTGGGGAGGGGAGGGTACCATTGCATGCCATCGTTGTGACAGTCACTTCTCCGAGGTACCGACCCTAAGCATGAGCTGAATATTCCTCTAACGGCGGCCTCCTGTGGCCTGTTTCTGGAGACCCTTGCAAGAGGGCCGTGACGGTGTCCACACAGGTGAACGCAATGTGCAGCCCTCACAGCTGCCAGGCCTGAGGGGCACATCGGCCACACCCCTGCCCGTAATGCATGCAGCCACTGGGCCGCGCGCCTGGAGTGTGTGGAGTCAGAACACGGGACACTTGTGGCCTGTTGTGGTTTAGAGCTGCGTTGTCCCCCAGAATCTCGCCCTCCGAGGAGGGGCTTTGGGAAAGTGGTTGGATCCCGGGTGCGTTCTGATCTGCTGGGTAGCGGTGTGCTTGTGGCTGACTGGCCACTGGAGGGCGCCTCCCTCCTCCTGGGGAGCTTTCCTCTGCCGGGCCACTCCTCCTGTGGAGCCAGCAACCATGCAAGTACTTGGACCTGTGAACTAGAAGCTTGATAACCTCCCCTCCTCTGGTTGTAGGTGCCATTCGTGTCCCTGCTGGGAAAGTGATGGAGATGCAGCCTTTGCTGCCACTGGGCCCTGTTCCCAAACTTCACGTGTGCCCAGTGGACAGCTCTGGTGTCTGAGGACAAACTTGTGATGACATCGGCCTGGTTATCTGGGGACGGAGCAGCCTGTGGGCAGCTCGGGGCCATTCTGTGTCCTCTCCTACCTCTCCTTCCACATCTGTCGGCTCCACTGTGCCCACCAAGCCCTGGCCCGTGCCCCTGGCCCCGTGTGCCCTCCGCAGGGCCAGGCCTCCAAAGTTCTCTGCCATTCCGCGCCACCTCGAAGGGCTCTGCCTTCATCTGTGCCCATCTGCATCCGTGTCACCACTGTCATCCATTCCTGCCCGTGCCCAGCAGTGCCACAGCTGTGCCAGCACCTTCAGGGGTGTGGTGTTCCCTCCAGCACTCACTGGCTTCACAGTTTGGGAGGACAGCAGCCACAGGACAGCGTGCATGGCGTGTGTGGCAGGGTACGGGTAGGATGCACGCTGGTGCGGGTGTACAGCTGCTTCTGTACGTGTGAAGGGGCACAGGGAGGGCCCAGCCAGCCCTTCACGGCACCTGCCGTCTTTCCCATCACGGGCGCGGGCTGGTGATGGCTCCCACCTGATGGCCCAGAGCCCTGGGGAACCGGCCGGCCAGGTGTAGCCCTCGGGCTCCCAGTAACCTCTGGGTTGCTGGGAACACAGCTGTCAGCCTCAGTGCTTCCATCCTACCGCCCGTGGTCCCCACTTTATCCAGCTGTGTGAGCCAGGTGGGAGGAGCATGCACCCAGACCCCAAGTCCACGGTCGCTGCAGTCACATTCGCGGGCACAGGCTGTCTCACCAGGTCCCAGTGACCTCCCGGATAGCATTTGTGTCCTGCCTGCCCGCGAAACTCCCCAAAGCTTCACAGCCGTGCCAGGCCCCTGCCCTCCTCCAGGGGTGCTGTGCATCTGTCAGGTACTGAGCTACAGTGGTCAGAGACTCCAAGGCTGGTGTGGGGCCGGCGTGGTGCCATTGTGGATCGGGCATTTTGGGTGGCTGGCAGGATGTCCAGCTGAGGCCTAGGCCCCACCCCATGGCCAGTAGTGGTCTGTCTGGGAGGCTGCAGGATCCCAGTCAGCTAAGATCCCCAAGCCCGCGTGGGTGACCTGCTCTGAGGGAAGCAGTGGCAGGGATGGGCAGTTACTCACCTGGCCTCTTCCCCTAGAGAGGGCGTGGGCAGGGAGCACTGCCCGCTCTATGCCTGCGCTGCAGCTGTGGTT